GGAAAAGGCTCTGGATATGGAGGAGGAAGCTCAGGTGGCTCCATCTGTGGAGGAGGAAGCTCAGGCGGTGGAGGCTCCATTTCCAAGGGTGGCAGCAGCTCAGGGGGCGGACCCATATCTGGGGCTGGTGGGTCAAGTTATGGAGGAGGAAAAGGCTCTGGATATGGAGGAGGAAGCTCAGGTGGCTCCATCTGTGGAGGAGGAAGCTCAGGCGGTGGAGGCTCCATTTCCAAGGGTGGCAGCAGCTCAGGGGGTTATGGACCCATATCTGGGGGTGGTGGGTCAAGTTATGGAGGAGGAAAAGGCTCTGGATATGGAGGAGGAGGAAGCTCTGGAGGTGGCTCCATCTGCGGAGGAGGAAGCTCAGGCGGTGGAGGCTCCATTTCCAAGGGGGGCAGCAGCTCAGGGGGTTATGGACCCATATCTGGGGGTGGTGGGTCAAGTTATGGAGGAGGAAAAGGCTCTGGATATGGAGGAGGAAGCTCAGGTGGCTCCATCTGTGGAGGAGGAAGCTCTGGTGGTGGAGGCTCCATATCTGGGGGAGGAAAAGGCTCAGGGTATGGAGGAGGAGGAAGCTCTGGAGGTGGCTCCATCTGCGGAGGAGGAAGCTCAGGTGGAGGCTCCATATCTGGGGGAGGAAAAGGCTCAGGATATGGAGGAGGAGGAAGTTCTGGTGGTGGATCCATATCTGGGGGAGGAAAAGGCTCAGGATACGGAGGAGGAGGAAGCTCAGGTGGCTCCATCTGTGGAGGAGGAAGCTCAGGTGGTGGCTCCATATCTGGGGGTGGAAAAGGCTCGGGATATGGAGGAGGAGGAAGTTCTGGTGGAGGCTCCATCTGTGGAGGAGGAAGCTCAGGTGGTGGAGGCTCCATTTCCAAGGGTGGCAGCAGCTCTGGAGGGGGTGGATCCATATCTGGGGGTGGTGGGTCAAGTTATGGAGGAGGAAAAGGCTCAGGATATGGAGGAGGGGGAAGTTCTGGTGGTGGCTCCATATCTGGGGGAGGAAAAGGCTCAGGGTATGGAGGAGGAGGAAGTTCTGGTGGTGGATCCATATCTGGAGGAGGAAAAGGCTCAGGATATGGAGGAGGAGGAAGTTCTGGTGGAGGCTCCATCTGTGGAGGAGGAAGCTCAGGTGGAGGAGGCTCCATTTCCAAGGGTGGCAGCAGCTCTGGGGGTTATGGACCCATATCTGGGGGTGGTGGGTCAAGTTATGGAGGAGGAAAAGGCTCAGGATATGGAGGAGGAGGAAGTTCTGGTGGTGGATCCATATCTGGGGGTGGAAAAGGCTCAGGATACGGAGGAGGAGGAAGTTCTGGTGGTGGATCCATATCTGGAGGAGGAAAAGGCTCAGGATACGGAGGAGGAGGAAGCTCAGGTGGCTCCATCTGTGGAGGAGGAAGCTCAGGTGGTGGTGGATCCATATCTGGAGGAGGAAAAGGCTCAGGATACGGAGGAGGAGGAAGCTCTGGTGGTGGATCCATCTGTGGAGGAGGAAGTTCTGGTGGTGGATCCATATCTGGAGGAGGAAAAGGCTCAGGATATGGAGGAGGAGGAAGCTCAGGTGGCTCCATCTGTGGAGGAGGAAGCTCAGGTGGTGGCTCCATATCTGGGGGAGGAAAAGGCTCGGGATATGGAGGAGGAGGAAGCTCAGGTGGCGCCATCTGTGGAGGAGGAAGCTCAGGTGGTGGCTCCATATCTGGG